TACTTAAAATCGACTTTCCTTCCTTAGAATTTTAAATGAAATGGCACACGCTATCTGTAATAAAATTTCAATAAATAATAAATGATTTTTTCAAAAATTCCTTTTACACACATATACGTGTTCTTTTTCTCATTGTTAAACAATTCCGTAACTGACAGCGTACAGAAACAATTGCGATTTTTTTTTATTCTCATCTTATAATTTAATATCTAGGAAAGATGTGCGTATCCCTAGGTGCACGCTGCATCGTTTATACCATAGGATGTCTCGCAATTTTCGCAATCGTAATTTTAATTACAAATCGTTGCATCAGTTCAGGACGAAGTTTTTTTAAATTAATATCACGATTAAAAGTGAAAAAGAACTTTTGACAACCTTTGATTAAATAATAATATACCTATTGATTTCCTAGCACATTTACTTAAAATCGACTTTCCTTCCTTAGAATTTTAAATGAAATGGCACACGCTATCTGTAATAAAATTTCAATAAATAATAAATGATTTTTTCAAAAATTCCTTTTACACACATATACGTGTTCTTTTTCTCATTGTTAAACAATTCCGTAACTGACAGCGTACAGAAACAATTGCGAGTTTTTTTTTAATTATCATCTTATAATTTAATATCTAGGAAAGATGCGCGAACCCCTAGATGCACGCCGCTTATGTGTTTACATCTGAGTACCATATACAATGCATTTGTGGCAAGATAAATTTATATGAACGTACTGACTGAATATATATGGAAAGTCATGAACTCTCGCCGTGCGGTAATATATATGAATACGCAAGAATGAACATAGTAGGTGTGGGATCAAGTGTACTACGCACAAAGTACACAACATACATACAAGCAATTCGTAAATGCTACGAGCTGCAATCAAAACAACATGTATATTGCATGTTTAATGAGCTTTACTCCTACAGTCAAAAACCGATTAATTTTATACAGCCTGTGTCAATATAATTAAATACGCATCATATGGTATACTCTTTTAATTTAATGTAGGAAAGTACAATATTATGGTGTGAGAAAATGAAGGAATCCATAACTTCCATGTATCGTAAACATATAACTTGATCTTTATTATTTATCGTTTTCGCGCAATTTTCCGCGCGAAAAATCAGTTAAAATCCCGCGCAGCTTGTATGCGGTTTCCAGCAACGGGAATAAAAGGCAAGTCCAGGTCTACGGCCAAGTTGGACAACATACAGAGAATGTCCCGTAGCACTGATTCACCTAGGTACAATAAAAATATATCTCGCTACACACAGCGTTCCGAGCACAGAATCAACCCCTGTCGAGGGGCTGTAGTGGGGGGTGGCGGCGGCGGCCGCGACGGCGACGACGGTGGTGGCTTAAACCACCCCGTACACGCCCGACGCTCGAGGGGTAGGTTGGACTTGGGTTGGCCGACCAGCCCGTGGCCGCCATTATTGACCATCGGTCTTGATTAGCGCTTGATACTATCCCGTCCGGTTTTCTTTTACGGAACCTTGGACGTGTCCGCGGAAGTCCGGGCCTTTTTCTCGCGCCATCCATGTCCCTTCTCCCCCTTCGCATGTTATTAATAATACGGCAGTGTGATTTATTGTCCACGCTACAGGCACGTAACTGGGTTAAAGAATTGCTCGGATATTTCATTATAAAGATTGCATTATTCCATAAAACGCGTTAATTATGGATTTGGAATAATGAGAAAAGTAGATTAAAAATTGTAGACTTCACTTTTTTAACTTTGATGCATGTTTCTTCAGAATAAAAATTTTCTAACTTGTAATAGAAAATTTTAATTTCTTAAACGGTATTAAAAATCTCTTTAATATTAATTTGGAATATGATTTTCATTATGAATTTGGATATGAGGAAAATCTAGAAATAAATACGATATAAAATTCGCGCAATTTTTATCTTTTGAACGTAATTCTCCGGAGATATACCGTTATTTATGCAATGATAGTTAAATATTTTTGTAACATCAGTGCGTGAGAAATGGAAATTAATGCTTTAATACTAAATCCAATGTGAGCCAGCTTTCCCGTAAAAATTGATGCAATAATATAATCTTTAAATTTCATGTTTATTATTTGAACATCGGTATAAAGTTAAAAGTATAATTACTTTTCTCATAAATAAATTTTACGACGCAGCACTTCTACTTGAATGATTGTTTATATAAACTTAAAATGTTTAAAAAGATACACAATTTTTATAATATTAATTAATAATGATTTCAATGTAACTAAGACATAATTTGCATATTGATGCCCATATGCATTGATATGTTGAACTTTTAAGCCATTGATGGGGAAACCGCTAGACTCTCATCTTTATAAAGTGAAGTGTCATAACCTGTAGGGTTATAACCACCTCTTTCCCTTTTCTCCTTCTATCTTCAAGTTTACAGCAATTTTCATATAGAAAACTTGTAAAAGGTTCATATTGATGACCCCGCTATAAACGTCGCGCTCGTATGTGCGTCGTCGATCTCACTCCCTATCGTCTCGTTTATATCGCAAAATCCGTATGCGGAAATAAAATATATTCGTGACAAAAATAAAATACAGGAATAGAAGTCTAGAAGCAGCATTACACACTTTTCGGATTTTTCTCGAGAGTGATTAGATATTAACTTTTAGATATAATAATACGATTAAAATATTATGATATTAATCTAATATATTAAATTGAGTTACTTCCATAGAGAAAATCACATATGTGTGAGCTCTGTATGTGTTAACATTGAAATTATTTTCAGTAATAACTGTAAATGAAATTGATATGAATAATTGCTAAGTTAAATAATCACAGAATCAATTTTTTAATCGATCAACATACAGTATTTTACTTTTTGATAAAAAGAAATTATATGTATATTCACGCAAGTCAAATTAAAGCTATTCAAATCAGTTTAATATTTTTCAACTGTTATAAAATATTATTACAATACGTCAGATGAATAAATAATGATACGTAAAATGTATCTTTGAACTGTTACATAATACCTATTATAATACATAAAATGAATTATTATACGTAAAAAGGGCTTTAAATGCTCTAAAATTTCTGAAATTGTATTTTACTTATTCTACATGTAGTTTGTACTAATTTGCACAAAGCCAACTAATTTGCAGAATCAATATTTATTAATTTATATGAAATAAATTTATATATATATATCTGTTTTTTTTATAAACTTTACTTATAAAATATGATGCAAGATATTCCACCGAAATGCATGTTAATGATAAAGATCTTCAAGATCTTTTCTGCATGTATATTTCTTGTACCTCTCGTGTTAATTTTCAAGATCGTTTGCAATCGTATATCGATCAACTTTGGTCGCTTACAATTTTTTTCCAACAAAGCTACAAGCGCAGTCCATTCCTCGCGCTCGAACGGGAAAGCTCCGCTGCGGCTCGTATCGTAAACCATCTCGAAATCTTGCGCGGGATCCTCGTACGTATCTCGAATATGCGTTCCCCACGCACGAAGCGAACGAAGGGGATGCGGACGCGCGCACGGGGCGCAGGCCCGAGACTCCCCCACCGGACGATCTCCCCCATTCGAGGTGGTGTCGGAACCGACGGCGGCGGCGGTCTCGGTGGTGGCCGAGGACGGTAGGTAGGGTGGCAACCTCTCCTTCGATAGCTGCGTACGCGATTTCGGACGGTACGTCCGGTGCGCGACCACCTCCACCTTCTGGCGGCGTCCTTCGTGCCCTCCGAGCGCCCGGTTGCTTCCGACCGGTGTGCTTACGTCAGGCCGAAGCCGGCTCCATAGTACTCTGGCACCTGCTAATCAAATAGTACATTCCACGATCGCGTCGACGCACGTCGCAAAGTCGAAGGATCCGTGCCTACTGTGCTGTTTCTCGAGGAAACTTCCTCTCCGGATAAGAGCTTCGAACACCTCGCTCGCCGATTGACTTGCCATCGCTTCTGTCAAAATTGAAAGAACTAATTTTAATAATATCTGATTGTGTTTGACGAGAGAAAACATTCGGGGACTTTGGAAGAATATTACTGTGCACCCAGCATCCGCAGGATTTTATCAGTGAGTGATTAAGTCAAGATGTGGAGACATCCCTGTGTTTCTAACTGTAACACTTGAAGATTCTAAGATCATCGAACAACAAAGTGAAAAAACGTCATTCAAAACTTGAAGAATAAAAATATCAAACAACTGAAAATCTTGACGAACCTCGCAGAGGTCCCTTCATTTCCAGCGTCTCTGTAGCTAGTCGCGAGATGCGAAGCTACGGGCGAGGACGATCGACGGCAGTCATCGACGAGAGTCATCGAACGCGCCTCTAGACGGCCCGGACCATCGCGAGGGAGGAGGGGAAGGGGATCGGATCCGATGAGAAGGAAAAAACGGTCGGGACAACGCGGCAGGTCGAAGATCGCGATCAGGAGGCCGGTGGAATTCGGCGTTTCTTATCGGCGGACGGCGAGGTTGACCGCATATTCGGTCCGAATCGCCGAACCGGGAGATCGACAACCGGCTAGATCGCTCGCGAGCCGTCGCGTTTTTCTCCGACGCGTCGGGCGGTCGATTCACGTCGGACAGGACGCGAGATTTACATCGACACGCGCGTAAAAACCATCGTCCCGCTACCGATCGCGGCCGCAGACAACAGATATCGATCCGGGGGAGGAGGATCGGAGATCGTTTAAGACGTTTAAGAGAGCCTCGGGAACGTCTCGAGTGTTATCGACTCTACGATCGAAAGAAAATTTGAGCCTCTTCGTGGAATACCAATCGGGATTACCGAGGATATTTCTGGCGCGAATGGCCGAGGGGAGATCGGAGAGGTACCCGAATAAGAAGTGGATGCGCTCGTGAAAAGCCTCGATATGAGTGGAATAAGAAACGAGTGACTTTAAAATGATTAGGAAGTAGGCAAGACGCTTGGTTGGCGAAAAAATACAGTGGAAATTAGGCAATTTTATAGACGTTTTAGTAAAAGAAAAATATAGTATATATATTGATACTTAATGTTAAAATCGGTATCTCGTTGTTAAACGGTAGAAATTAAAATACAGGCAAGAATTCTTATTCCTTAAATCGTTGATTCTCTTTCGATTTTAAGCGTAACAATTCCGCTTTTCGAAACATTTTGCGAGATTAGAACAGACATCACCGTCACGTCTTGCGCGTACCTTGTTTTGCAAACTTGAGGAGAAACGTCAGCGTCGTTTATCAAGACGAAGTTAAAGGGTAAACAATATCGATGCGAAATCGCGATTCGACGGACTCGAGAGAGATCGGCGCGATCGGTGCCGCGTATTCAAGGTTACGGTCAAGATAAACGAGATCTCGCGAGTGGTCTGATAAGCGGATCCCCCGACGAGTGCGTGGCTGGCTTCAGGCCTGCACGGACCCTGGAAGGCGCACAGTCCGTCGGCGATTTCCGGTTTCATCGAAAACATTGCGACTCGTGCTCGAGAAAGGTGACGTAAACTTTGCGCGATTGAAAACGTCGTCAGAGAGTTGTAGAGCAACAATAGAAATTCGAATCGGTCAAAGGAGGTGACGTGAACACGAGAAGAAATACAGGAGGAAGTGACATAAACTTGGCGCGATACGAATTTTTCAATTAATCGACTCAGTTTACTCATTGGTGTTGATTGTAACATGTGATCGTTCGCGTTTCGTCGACAATAGCAAGCACAAATAATCTAAGATCCAGTTATAAAAAAATAGAGAACGGCCAGTTTGCTGAATAATTTATAATGTTGTGCGATTAGGCGATGAATGTTTGACATGCCGAGTACATCGAGGTTGAGGATTAGAAAGACTCGACGTGCAAAAGACCGGAAATACGCTTATCGAGCGTGAATCGTTTCATTGACAATAAGCGGCTTGTGCGGTAGCGTTGGTGGAACTATTTACAAACGACTCATTCAAGTGCAATGAGCTCATAAACAAGTCGCGAGCGCAGAGAGCGTATCTGGTACAAAAGATGTTTCATGATCTCTTCGTCTAATAATCATGGAATAATCGCGGGAATTTCATTAAGAGACTGATCGCAATTCGCAGGGACTCTTCGAGTCAACGAATGATAGTTCGGTGATTGAGTGAGCGAAGTTAATCTTGAAAACTAAACAATATTTGTGTATAATTTGTTCGAGGGCGACTTTCCATGATTATCAAAGTTTTATGCTAGAGGTATAATAATTTTAGAGAAATTGTTTGCGCGAGAGTGTCATGAGAGCTTTCCCAGTATATGTGTTAGAATCAACGATGGAGATGATAAATAGGAACAAATCGGTGAGCTTCCGAAGCATCTTCAATGATCACGACGCTAAATCGTCAACTTCGACGGAACTCGTGTGACAGCGCGTAAAATATACTTTTTAACAAGAATCTTGTTCAACGCTGGACGGTCGTGCTCGAGTTTTCTATTAAATAAACGCTGCTTGTGTCAGGGGAACGATATCGCTCTTGGAAGTATCTTATACATCAAGTGAGCTCGCTAACTTTACGAGACATTCGAAATCAGTACATCGCGCAAGTTTGAATCACGCTGGGAGACGCAAACAGCGAATCTTTGAAAGAAACGTGCGGCTTCTTATCGTTCCATCCTCAGCATGGCAGCCGAAGTCGCTTCCTTCAATCCGAGGAGATAATACGGAAACTTAATTACAATATTTCACTCTTGGCGAGGAAAGAGAAAGTGCCTTGCTGCACGACTGTACTTCGTAATTCGTGAAAGTTCTTGACGCCAAGAAATCCCGCAATAATAACAAGCCTCTTCTTCATGTAATCCACATTGATGCATCCATCTCTGCCGAACCCAGGGACAATTCGAGAGAAGAAAAGAACCGCTCGACGCTCGCATGAGTTCTCTCTTAAACTGGAAACTGATGAACCACCTAGTTACCTTGGACGATAAGCGAGCCTCCCGTTGTCGACAGCCGTTGTTTCACAGCCGATAGAGACCGCGGGCGACGATCTCGCCATCCGCGAGAAGACGGGGGCGTAGGTGAACGTAGGGCGACCTCGTCGCCGGGAATTGCTGCTGACGCGATTGCACGACCTCGTTCTTAGACTGGAGCTGTACCTGCCGTACGCACCGCTGCCGGGGGGCGGCGGGATCCTCCCGGCGGTGAGCGGCAGCGGTGCCTCCGGCGGCTGTCGTCCGGTGCTGCTCGGCGGCGTCGACCTGTCGATGTCGGCGGCGGTGCAGCCGCCGGTCGCCGCGACGCTCCCGACGAGCCTGACCGGCAGCGGCCCGACGATCGCGGCCCACAATTCCCTGCACCACACATCCGGCGGCCTGGCCCTGCCGCTGGGGGCCGCGGGCCCCCCGGTGATGATGCCGCGTCCTCCGCCGGCGATGCCGCCGCTCGGGCCCGCGACGCTGCCGTCGGCCCATCAGGACGAGGATCTGGCCGACGCGGCGCCCAACCAGGATGTCCTGCTGGCGCTCCTCGCGAGGAACAAGAATCTGGAAGGTGAGTGACCGGCATGCGAGAAAAGAGAGCCGAGAAGAGGCTTTTTTTCAGAAGTTATACGACGGATATACGGCGAGTTAATTTGCGAATCTCTGCGTTAATCGAGCTTTCTAAATAATAAATCCAGAAGAGACAGGTCGCGATGTGAACGCAAAAATTCTATAAATCAGCGAAGATAATGAAAAGTCTATTTTTCTCTGGTTGAAAAAACCAGAACGACAAGATCACTTGAACGACAAAATTTATTACTTTGTTGTTCGTGTGTTAAATATCTTATTAAAGTGTGCAGAAAATGGTACCCAAGAAAAAGCATCGATGGGAAAGTTCTGTCTTTTTTAATAATTTTTTGAAAAGAAATCTTTTCATGGAGATAAATAAGCTCACGATGTGAACGCAAAAATTTTACAAATTAGCAAACATAATGAAAAATTTCTATTTTTCTCTCGTTGAAAAAATTACTTTGCAGCTGAAGAAGAGGCTTGAACGACAAAATTCCTTGAACAACAAAATTTATTACTTTGTTGTTCGTATGTTAAATATCTTATTAAAGTGTGCAGAAAATGGTGCATAAGAAAAAACATCGATGGGAAAGTTCTGTCTTTTTTAATAATTTTTTGAAGAAACAAATCTTTTCAGGGAGATAAATAAAGTCGCGATGTGAACGCAAAAATTCTATAAATTAGCAAAGATAATTAAAAATTTATATTTTTCTCTGGTTGGAAAAATTACTTTGCAGCTGAAGAAAAGGCTTATTTAAATTGCTTGAACGACAAAATTTATTACTTTGTTGTTCGTATGTTAAATATCTTATTAAAGTGTGCAGAAAATGGCACACAAGGATTTTCGAAAAGAGGAATATAAAAGGAAGAAGTGATAAAATGGAAGCTTGTAAAATGTAATTATTAAACGCTTAGAGTTTTATATAATTCGTTAATCATGAAACGCGACGTATCAGTAAATTGATAGACTGATACCTGCAAATCAGGTATTATCAGAGATTATTTTCATGCAGAGTATTAAGATTATACTAATAACTTATGCAACGCATATATATAGAGAGAAATAGGAAATTATACTATAAGGAAGATACATTTTCATTTCTTCAAGCATAAAAATTTTCACTTTTTTAATATAAAAGTACATCTATTTTATAAAAACAGAGCGATACGTTAAAGAAATCAGCCGGCAGAATGATGTATCGTTGCAGATACATGTTATATATGATACTCTCTTTTTCAAAAGTTACCTCATAAAATTATTATCAAGTCAATTATTCAACTTGTTGACGCTTAGGAAACATAATTCCGACATTTTTCCATTCAGTTAAAAGGACTATAAGTTAAAAATTTTACATCATAATATGTGCAAAAGTAAAATGTACGTGAAAAGAAACATACAATTTGAGATTTACATATGATATGAAAATACTATGTATTAAAATAATTCTAATAATTATTTTAATGTACATATTATTGTTACATAATATTTTATTGACAGATAAACACTTATCTTTACGATATGTACAATTGAACATATCTGAAAAGCACTTTTGTAAAAGTAAACTTATTCTCTTTTTACGACTCTCATATTAAACATGAAACATAAATATGAAATGCCTTGCCAATACAAACATCAGACTCCATTTAATTATTATCGCTCGGTTTTTCGTTACGTTCACTGACTTGGAAACGTATTTGCGACATTTATTTTCGAAATGCAAGTGGCAATCGCGATGGCAATTGTATCGGGGACAATTTACACGTTGAAACACTATGATTAACGACGAAATTAGTAACGAGATGGTTGACATTTATGCCAATTGTCGATCGAAACTCGATCGCAATTTCGCTCCTTCCGTTTATGGTATCTCTCTCTTTCGTTTGATATAATGTTCGCTTTCAATGACGTTTGATGTATCTCGTAATATCAGCTTGACTTGAAATTTTCACTTGAACGGTGACCACTTCTCGATAATGTCTTTCCATTAACGATCGATAAGATTAATGTCTCTATCTAAAGAGCCACTATCGTCATTCGTGCCACTGTCTTATTCTGTCAATACTATAACGTTGTAATTTCCGGAGCTAGACGAGACATATATACATGTTTTAGCACAATATTATTAAATATTTAGTGTATATATTATTATAAACTCGAAGATCCATGGTGCTAAAGATATAAATATATAACGTGTTCGCGTTTCTATTCTCTCTTTCGATATATTATTTTTGTCTTATTAGAGTTTTTTGTCTTATTAGAGTTAATATTACTAGATGTTATAATTACTAAATGTTTTATTTAAATCATGGAATCATCGTCTACAATGTAATATTAGAATACAATATATCTGAGGCTTAATTAATTTCGCGAAACGTGCGAAAACATATATTTTTTATCTATATTAAAATAATTAACTATGAGAAAGATGAAAAAGAATCGATTTAATCGATCTACAGTTGCCAAGTTGCCTAGATTATAATGTTATAAACCTTATCTAATACGCCATTCAACTCTGTTTCATATTTATTAATTTATTTTATTTATAAATCGCAAAAAATTGCTTAATATATTAGCTTAAAATATTTCCGAAAGAAATTTTGCAATTATTTCATTAGAAATTTATATATAAAAATCCGCTTTTTTACAGTGTCAATTGAATACTGTTTTTTAACGTTGCTTCTTAATGCAAAAAATATGTGTTTATCTCAGAAATATTTAAATTCATACTTTATCGCGTGTTATACTTCAGATAATCAAGCAAAAGTGAAGGTTAATTATCAGATAAAGAAATTTTATTTGTTTTTATATTTCTCTTCAAAATTTTTATAATTATTTATAATTATAAAAATTATTGATACTTCAACACACATATACATTCCTAAAAACAATGCATTTGAAAATTAATTTAACCAGAATATTAAACAAATGAGCGATATAGAATATCCTATATAATGAAAAATAATTTAAAACGGATGTATATTTTTGCTTTCAAATATACATGCTTTATATAAGTATCGGAATATCGATATAATAAATGTTGATGTATCGCTCTTAGATTTTAGACGTTCATTCGATTTTTACTCTCGTCGCATCTTAATCATATTCTTGCTTGCCATTTTCATTCTTCTCATTCGTCGCCACGCGCACTGCGACTTGTCCTCTGAGTTATTCATCCAGTCGATCTCGGTGAGTGGAGCAAGGTCGAAGCTTCCTAAATTATGAACATTCGCGGCCGGCGAAGACGATCTCGTGGTTATGCAACACGGAGTCGACGACCGATTTTCCGAATGAATATTCACGAAGGATCGCGTGAGTTTAACGATAATTAAGTTTACTACCCCGTAAACAGAGATTCGTGACCCCGTAACCCTTTTAAATTCCAATACGAGTCACATTTTCCGTTTGATGCAGACTTATAAACGAGATCCGCAACTGTATTGGAATTCTTTTGATTAATTAAACTGCTTAGCTCAGAGTTTCTCAACATCGTGAACATTTTTTTCCACGATCATACTTATAAGCAACAATCATTTTTTATCAATTATATTAAATAATAAAATTTATATATCTGTATATTTTAACATCGTTAAAATTCACATTCATCAAGTATGATATTTATTAATTTTAATATGAAAGTTTTTGTAGAATTTCGACCAAGTTGAATTGAAAATCTATCCACAAGACAAATACATGCAAAAGGCGTGCTTTTCTGGTCCACGAAAGATGCAAATTCTACGATACACTCCTAAAACTGTTATATAATGTTGCACGTGGCAAATTAAATATGACCGATCTTGAGATTGATAGGAACCGATTGACTTGTCTCGAAAAGATCGCGTGCAATGTCATCTTTAATTTCGTCAGATCGATGATTAGCATAATAATCACGATGCGAGGATTAATATCCATCGTGACAGAATGAATACGGGCGGACCGGAGAACCGATCAACTTCTGGCCGGCTAAGCGTTTCTGGGTAATAAAGAGAGCGTAATAGTTCGCGGCTCCGCTTTTGTTAAAAGGGCGCGGCGAGGGTGGCGGATATTTTAATAAGGTAAGTGCTGCAAGGCCGGTTGCTATGCCATTGGGGCGGTTTAATCATGTAATGTGTTCGGAGGCTCGGCCGTCCCGCAATCGATATACGGTATTGCTTCGGGCACGACGCGGCGCGTTACGTACGACGGGCTTAAATCCTACAACTAAACCACCCTGGAACTAAACCTAGTCGTGTAAGCCGCGTTAAATCTCCTCGCCGAGGGCTTCGCAAGGAGAGGATCTTGGTTTTCGGCTCACTGCTCTTGCAAATTGAACGTTATCGAGGCAAGACTCGCTGCACGTTTTATGTCACTCGCAATCCCTTATGACCGATTAATCGTACGGATGTGATTTTACTTTCACGTACTTTAGCGATGTAGCCTTCCTATCAAAGCTTTTGCATAAGAAAGAAGCAAATGTGTAATTTGTCAAATTTATGTTATAATAGAATATTTTTTTATTGTATATTTGCATAGAATCGTTGTCAATTAATTTTAATTGATTTTTTGTTTCTGCTTAATCGTAGTTTTATAGAAAGAAACATGGAATCAGTTAAACAATAATGCAATTTTAATAACTTTAATGAGATAAATTAAAAAGAGCAGAACTGAAGGAAAAAACAGTAGAGATTCTCGATATCTTCTAGTGACGGAATATTTGGCGAGAATCCTCTGAAAAATTTGACGAATATAATTTCATCATTTAAATTGCATATTATCTGGTACACACGAGGAGAGGAGAAAAAAATCGCAAAATAAAAAGCCCTTTTCCTTCTTATCTTTCTTTTTATGGAAAGACTGTCAGAGAATCGTACGTTGACAAGGGGCGAGAAGCTCCAATGACGACGTCAACCAACCCCCGAGCGAAATGGTAACCATAGGAAACGGTGGCTCATAGCGAATGGTCGGGACGGGGATGAAAAGAAAATGGCAGACCACGGTTTACGGGGTAGCGCGTGGTATTCACG